TTTTTGTTTTCGTGTTGTCTGATTTAATCTATTGATTATGTTTGTGCTGTATCCGTTGTTATGTAGTATGTTTTTAATAGTGTTCTTCTCTATTTGTTTTCCCTTTTCTGTTATTGGGTATGTGTACAGTCTATTTATGAGGTAATTAATACCTGACAATTTGTGCTCGAATGGATGGCACGAACTGTTAGGTATAATGATGTCTGTTTGTGTGGGTTTCCTATATATTGTGTTTTTAAATGTTAAATTTTAGACTGGGGTCAGTGTGGCAGCAACGTTAAGAGTATACACCTGATGATGGCCGATAGAGGCCGAAACATGTAGTGTAGAAAGAACAAGATCAAAGACATATAATATATATTGTTTGCACTTGGGACGGAATTTGTGTCATTTATCGTGTAGAGTGCAACAGGATGCTTAAATATAATATTGTAACTACAGCTATTTAAATACTTGAGACCAGGCTATGTCAAAGGAAGATCATAGGAGAATTTGCAATAAAAATTATGAAAAAGCATGCACAGTCAACAAAGCTTTACAAGTCATCAAAAATAAGCTCCATAACAATGACATGCTGGTGGAATGATTTGTCTTTCGAATTGAAGCCATCATGGAACTGTTGGAGGTTTGCTTGAGAACCACAGATTTTCACGCAGACAAAAAGTTCTCCCAGTAAAATAATGGCATGGCTATGGGAAGCTCTCAATCACCTATCCTTAGCAACATATTCATGGACCATTTTGAGAAATTGGCTCTTGACTCAGCACCACACAAACCATCGCTGTGGCTCCAGTATGTTGATGACACATTTGCGGTCTGGCCTCATGGTCCAGAGAGGTTACAGGATTTCCTCGGCCACCTCAATTTATTAAGGCCTTCCATACAGTTCACAATGGAAATAGAACCAAACATTCCAATTCCTTTTCTGGCTGTTCTCATCAGGAAATATGCAAAACATTATTAAATCTCTTTCCTTTGACCTTCAGTATTAACCTTGTCAAAGAAAGTCACAGGGAACAACATCTGGAGAGGAAGGTGATGGGGGACCACACCCATTTTATTCTGTTCTTGACCATGGACCCACTGACAGTAAAGGCTGTGTGAATGGGCACATAGTCAGGATGAATCACACAGTCCCTATTTCACCATACCTCTTACGACTTTCTTGCTGACATCTTCCTATAGATGCAATAGGACATCTGCACAATACTGCTGATTAACAGTTTGGTCTGGGGATACAAATTCGAGATGCACAACCCTATTACAGTGAAAAAATAATTAATGCACTTGATATGTCATCCACATTGTTCTTGACTTCCCCAGAAACTTATCTCAGAATCTTAAAAACCAGCTGTACATTTATGATTTTGATAAATATTTGTCATCAGAGGCCATTCGTAACATGCCATATATTTCATAAATGTTTTACCAAATTTGAAACAAAATTTAATGAAAAGTCTTTATTTTCTTGAATCTCTCATTTCAGAGAATCACCGAACCCACTGCACTTATCTTCAGTAAAGAGCTATATATGTATGACTGACACAACATTGAGTGCTGAATATGAGGAAAACTACTCTTGAAAGCATTCTTTGTTACCATGTAACTGGAAAAGATGATACTATTATCAATGGTGTCATTATGGGAGAATTCTCATAACCGTTAGGTACCACCCTTGTAGAGACTTGCTTACCTGGATGAATAATGTGGTTGATACAGTTGCAGTGTTCCAACATTTTGATAGCTCGACACTCAAGCACACAGGTAGAATAGCTATAATACTTGAATAATTTGTAGTGGTCTGGTATTTCTTCAGGAAAGCGACATCCTCGTCTCTTGATTGGGACTTGTTGCAATAGGGGGTCATTCACAATTTCAACCACCTAGTTAACAAGAACATAAAATTATTTTTCTTTTATGCATCCCATTGTGTATATAATGGATGTAGTACCATCAACATTTTGATCATTGTAAAATAAAATGATTGAAAGTAAGTGAAATCAATAAATCAATCTGTTTATTATATTGATTGTACTGCATGTTCCAGTCTCTCTTGAAAAACTGATATACTTATTGGTTTCACTTAATATTAATAATTTTATTATAAAATACTCAAATCACTGTTTTATGGTGGTACTAAAACCTTAATAAGGAAATGAAATTTTTTTTGGGATAGGAATTTGAAAAACATTGCAGTGCTTATATGATGCCAGATCCNATATTTTTAAGACTTCTGTCTTCAGAAATGAATTTGTAATGGACAATGCTGCATATCATATCTTACAATTAACTCCCACCGACACTACTGTTTTCATTTGTATACTTGCCCTTCCCCCCTTCCTTCACTGCTCTCACATAGCTGTGTATATTTCCATCACCAGTCTGCTTTTACTGGTTCTCATGGTCTCTTCGCTTGCAGATTTCTTATATTTTTCCTTCTACCCTGAAGATGGAGGTGATACGTTTCTCCAAAACGTCAGTTAACACCACATATACATGGTGCCAAATCCCAGAAGACTGCTTTCTTCAATGTGCATATTGTTTGCATAGAACAAAGAACATGTGTTGCATATGCCTCTGCAGTAGCAGAGCATGGAAATGCCTGTACTAGCCAGAACAGGGTACATGGACTGCACAGTGGTAGAAGCCATGTGCACAACAGTGATTTCAGCAGAGATAATAATTTCATGCTAATCTGGTTGTGGCACCCATTCACAAACATGCCCCGAAAGCTATGTTATACCCACAGGAGAAGTTAAGCAGTAGCCAGATAGGGCAAGATTGAATAGATCAGCAGCCAATTTAAGTAATGTACAGATATCACAAAAACTGGAAGGGCTACCCTGTTTCAGGAATGCAGCAACATGCATTACAGCAATTCCAGATAAATCACTCTGACCTGTTTTGTCAGGTTAAGTAAGAACGAGTTAGATGATGCTGAGATGGGTTTACACTTGATTCCAACAGTGTCTTTCATATGTCACTGGTTGTTCTTGAAGGTGAAGCCTAAATGAAGGTGTGTGTTTAAGCATGTGTATGAACTGTGTTTACCTAGTACACCATTCCCTGAAGCTGGAGAAGGAGAAGGCCTGCACAGCATTGGACTTTGAATCCAAAGCTGCATGGCTGCTCAGCAAGATTTCATTACAAGGTGTGGCAATAAAGAAACCGGATTACTTTTATGACTCATTTCCGGCCACGTCATTGACGAAGAGGAGGGTAGGGCATTGACCCTTGGACTTCCCTCTACCGTCACACAAAGTTTCATTCACGTGCATCGGTTAGTCTGGCCGCGACCATTGTTAGAAGCGGATCGTGTTTCTGAGCTCCGTCGGAATAATGCTGAGTGCTAATGCAGAACAACGTGCTAACATCAAATTCCTCACAAAACTTGGAAAATCTGCCACTGAAACTTACAATTTGTTGA